TGATAGTTGCCCCTTGGAAATTTGATGTTCTTAAAACTAGCATATTTGTTTTAAGAACATCAAGTTTCTGCGGGGCAACTATCAGCCGATAGTTCCTCGACAGAAACACTCTATTGTTTAATTAGTGTACTTTCTCAGGTGATTATAGAAATGCACAGGCTGTGATTGGCAGAGGATTGCATCATATATTGCTATAATCAGCTTGTGTGAAGTGATTCTGGCAGGAATGCTAAATTTCAAAATGGCTGCCTCACATTTTGTCAAGTTTCCAAGAAAGTAATAAGTAGGTCACAGAAGAAAACTCAATTGCAAAGAGCACACAAGATGCTACTGAGTTTGGCAGTACACTTTTCAAAAGAGAGATATGAAGTTTTTGTTGATTGAATTAAATAACCCTCGCTGCTCAAACCCCCGTCTTATCTCAATACCAGTAATTACCACAATTGTAATAAGATATGCACAATGCTTTCTTTACAGAATTCAGAACATAGTTCAAAGGACCCGAGTGTAACGTTCTGGAGTTCGCTTATACAGTTCGCTTACAGTTCGCTTACAGCTCGCTTAGTTTGTTCGTTATCCTAGATTTTCTCACACCCCGTTCTCACTTTACAGTGCATAATAAATACTCGAGTCAACGTCTCCTGGGGCCTTGGGCGTGGACTTGGAGGCCTGGACACTACACTGAGCAATTATTGTACTTAAACAATCATTGTACTTAAACAATTATTTGCTTAAGGTTCAGTGAATATTGTAGAATAATTCAGTATTCGCCTTGCCTTCAGCAAATAATTGTTTATGGATTATAAAAACCAAGACAGAAAAGTTTAGAACACATTAGGACATAATGAACATAGTACTAACTGTCTGATTGGTCAATTCAGTTTCCAAGCAGATGCTTTACCAGATTAAAGAGCCCACATGTAACTAGTTAAGTCATAAAAGCAATAGAATGTATTCTTTTGCAGGCTTTCTAACATGATAAAGCTACTTGTGATGCAGGAAGAACACTGGGCAGAATTAATTTTGTCTTGGAGAAGAGGGACCACATGACTTAGAAAAAACATTCATTTATTGGAAACAAAAGTGAAAATGATTTGAGAAGTCTTCACAGCATCAGAAAAAAAATTTGAGTACGAGGTTGAACTCTTTCATCCCCCCAAAAAGTGTTCAATGATAACATTGAAAATAATTTCCTTGTTTGAGAACAAAACATTTATCTATTTACATTGAAGACATTGATGGAAGTCCCTCCACTAATGTATCTATCAGGCTCCTACTGATAACTCTCAAACTTCCCTTTACAATGCTCATTACACCACTTTTATGGTGGGATCAGCAGTGCTCTCACAACCTATCACACTGCTTCACAAAATTTGTGAAGTGGTAATCAACAGATATTGTTTTCACAGATAAGAAATACAGGTACCATGTACCATTATTTATCTATTTATTAATTTGACCTTTATAAGCCAAGCTATTTGCCCACTACTTTGGACTAGTCTAAGAGTAAGGTGATACTTAGCAAACTAGTTGTTTATTCATTTTTTAAAAGTTTTAGTAATTTCCAGTATGCTGTGAAATAAAATAACTTATGCAAGAGAAATACTAACAAATATATTGTATACTTAGGAGGATTACAGCGGAGGGAATTGCTGTCCTTTCTACTGTTCATTAACCCTTTAAGCCCTCATATCTACATATATATTCTCATCGCTGTTCTCCGTATGTTTCTTATTTTACTGATTGAGAGAATTTGTTCAAACATCAAGACATTTAATCTTTGGTGATCATTTCATTCATTATCATGATCTGTACGTTTGATCAGACAGTTATATTGTTAGGAGAAATTAGATGCTGGTCACTATTAGGGCATAAAGGGTTAACTCAAAATTATATTTAACAATTATTTCCCAAAGGCGAGGTGAATATCGTTGAATAATTCCAGAGACGAAGTGAGGGGATTATTTGACGATATTCGCCGAACCTGAGGCAAATAATTGTTTTAGTATAATTTCAGAGCTGAACAACAGAGAAATTTCTAAAATCATAACATTTTAGTAACATTTATTAACATTTTATTTTAACATTGTATAGAAACTGCGTGGAGCGGTTTATACAGCGTCATATAAGGAACCACTCAACCAATCAGATTGCTGGAAACTCTTTGCTCAGCTCTGAGATTATACTAAAACAGCATAGAGAATAAACATATTGATGCTATGCTATATGTGACCGAGGCAGGTTCTGATGTTGTTATTTGAACAACGAGACAGACTTATAGCCACAATCAAATTTATTTATACAGGAAAGTACAAAAGAAATAATACTGATAAAAAGAAAGGGTGATTGCAAGCAAATCCTCAGTAAAATAGGTCACTAACTTGAGGTTACATGTACTGGAGTCACTTTTTTGTGACCAAGAGTTTCTGAGCTTGTAAGTGCTGGTCTTGACACTCTGAACTACTGAGTTAAACTAACTAACTGTACTTCTTTTATAAGGAATCGAACAATAGCAGGAAATTCTCTAAAATTTTGGAAGTTAGGTGTGATCATTCTAAAGGAAATTTATGATGCAAATCCTGTGTGTATGATAATTTGGTTATCATAGGAAATAGTTAGGTGTGATGGTGCGACTTAAAGGAAATTTATGATACAAATCCTGTGTGTATGATGATTTGGTTATCATAGGAAATAGTTTCTGAAGATGTTATTCTAAAATTATAACAAAAAATATTGCAATGTCATCCACAATTGTGAGCCTGGTCACATATAGAGGGTTATTAATAATGATCACAAATTTTTCTTCCATGAGATGTAAAGTTGAATGCCGTAAGGAGAAAACAAGAAAGAAAGTTTAAACTATCAAAGGTATCATGAATACAAAAGCAAAATGGAATGCCATTAGGGGACCTGCTCTAATGTCAGTATTCAAAGGAAAAAATCCTGGTATGAACCAGGGGGCCTCATGGAGAATGCACTTACTCTGAGGAGAACCCATAAAGGAAAGAAACATTACAAATGTATTGCATATGGAAAAACAAGTCACACAGAGAAGTAAAACCTTACCACTCGATCACCAGGAAGTGCACAGCAGCTGTGATTGGCCTTTGAAATGCAGTAAGGGTGACAAAAGTTCTGAACATTCCTAAGAATTGAAAGCATGCAGACTTGTGAGAACATAGCAAAGGAGGTGGGCCACTTTTAAAAAGACAGTCATTGCAAGTTAGCCTTCATAAGTTCTTTTCTTTTTAAGGATTATATGAGGATTCATAATGGTGGATAAACCCTGATATAAATGTTTACATTGTCCCAAGTCACTTTGCCAAAACTGAAATCTGGGCATCAATGAAAGAAATCACTTTTGGTTGGTTAAAACGGGCTCACCATTGTCCTCAGTTTAAGAAAAATTTCAAAACAATATTTGAACAAAAGTCTCATTACAGATTACTCTACGGAGTAAATCATCTTTAAATGGGCAACAGTTGAATGCCCATGTAAGAGTTCACAGTGGAAACGAACTTTTTACCAAGTGCATGATCAGTCCATTAAGTGTTCAGCTCATTTGTGAATACAGTGAATGGTCCATTCTGTAGAGAAACCACAACTGATGTAAAAGATAATTTAGATCATTAAGGGAGCTGTATAGCCACATGTACATGATCCACATTGACCTCAAACCCTTCAAATGCACCATTTGTGATTCAGTTTTACAACTTTAAACCCTGAGAGTGACCTGCATCTAATTTATCCTTACAGTAGTACTGTTGAAGAGTTTATCAATATCTTGAGAAAAAAGGAAATAATCGCCAACCTAAGAAGCTTTGATTGTTAAACAAATACTTCTAGTTAGTACCGGGAAATATACAGTATTGCAAAGAGTATGGAGAATATGGATACTGGTCCTAGGATGAAAAGGGTCAAAGGCATCCAGTGAGTTAAAAGTGCTCATAAGGAGACTGCACACAAAGGAGAGACTCTTTAAATGCTCTGAATGTGAAAGACCAATCACAACAATGCATGTCTGCCTTATCCCTTTTACTCCTAAGATCTTTTTGTTTATTCTCCTTACTGTCTGCCATACATTCTTATGGTGCTTGTTTGGAGAATTTGGCTTTGGACCTACAAATAATCCTATAATTGATATTTTTCTTTATTCTCATCAATTGTCTGCTTGAATTGATAAATTGTAAGGTGAAAATTCTGTCTTGGTCACTCACGGGAGTTAAAGGGTTAAGGTCAATCAAAGAGTGCATAGGGAGGACTTTTAAAAATGCACCCAGTGTGAAAAGACTTTCTCCTTAAGTTTGTGAGACAGTCCACATTGAAATCATAATCTCCCTAAAAAACCAATAATAATTGCCATAAAGCTTTTTTTAGGGTCCAGCATTGATAGATATAAATATCTCGCCACAGGCAAACGAGAGAGGAAGTAGCCCTTGGCTGTGATTCGCCTACGTTTAATTTCTTCTGCTGAATTTATTCGGACGCTGTTTCGCTATAACATCGGCTAAAACAATACTTGAAAAAGTATTACAGGCAATATAAATGTAATAGATAACGTTCTGCTTCTAAATTTGTGTTTCGTGGCAAGGTTACGTTATGGAGGCGGCTCTAAATAACTTTGCTCCACCGTTCTTCTCTGTAGAATTTACAGTCAGAAAGAGAGATGCCAACTCACTAGTTCCTACACTTGGATTTCTTTGCCTCTTGCTTACTCTCAAATTTGATTTTTTATTCCGGCATGCCAATATTTATTAGTAGTCATTCCGGGGAAATCTCCCTCGTTTTCTAAGTCGAAACCAGGTCGGTATGGTCTTCATTGACTGAGTGCTCTTTCAAGAAGGCTTTGGGCTTTTTTTAAATCTTCCGTACTCGACTAAGCCTTGCCACGTTGTTTCAATTTTCTGCAACGTAAGATGTGTCTCACCGTATCACTCTCCTCAAATTATCAATACCTTCCAATGGACGTCTTTGGCTTAATTGTTTTGTTTCTTCTTTGTTACCTTTTTTAGTCGTTTCTTTATTGTTCTCAATTTGGTAAAAATTATTTCCACTTCGGAATGCTTGTCACCGTCAATTTTTCTCCTGATAGCAAGTGAAGCCATAGTTCTATGGCTTCCTTGTATTCCCCAATCTCTTCATACATGTTTGCTAAGTTGTAATAGCCCATTGCTACATCACGATACTCCTCACCGAAAAGGTTTTTCAGTATCATTAATGCTTTTTCATAGTTTTCTTTAGCTTCATTGTATTGTTGAATGCTTAAGAAACAGTATCCTAAACGGTTATAGCATGCTGCCACATCGAGATGCCCCTCACCAAAGGCATTCTTAAAAATTTTAAGTGTCTTGTTGTGGTAATGTGTGGCTTGACTGAGCTTTCCCATGCCTTGGTATATTTTTCCCAGTTTGCAATAATATATTGCTACCATGGCGTTCTCTTCACCAAATATCTTCTTCTGAATCCCCAACCCCTTCTCGTACAGTTCTTTGGCCTTCTCCTTTTGGCCAATGCTGTGGAAGACGTCACCGAGGCAGAAATAACTATAACCAACACTTAGATGTTCTTCGCCCCTTATCTTCATCAGAATCTTCAGTACTCTAGCGTGTAGTTCTTTGACTGTCTCATATTCTTCACTATTAGTGCTTGCATTTGCTAACAAGAAACACGTATCAGCTACGCAAACATGTTCTTCGCCATAATTCTTGGCCAGAACATGCAGCGCCTTTTCGTGCATATCTTTGGCCTCTTTGTATTTTCCAATATCGCTGTAAACTAGGCCTAACCGGTTGTAAGTTTCTGTCACCCTAAGATGGTCTTCACCGTAAGTCATTTTTAGAATCACCAAAGCCTTTTCAAGCTGTTCTATGGCCTGATTGTGTTGATGAGTGTAATTGTAAACCGTTCCAGTAAGCCGTTATACAACTCTGTCAAATGGACGTATTCAGTGCACATCAAGAATCTTCGGCAATTGTTGGAGTGTTTACTGGAAGCGTCACCTAACTCCATACGACTGACGCCTGGAGCGATGTTAAGTCCTTCGACTAATGTTTGCTGAATGTTCAACGCCTCAACATTTCGAACAGTTCTTTGGCTTGCTGATATTTTCCAGTGTTTATGTGAACGTAGTGAGAGGACGTTCACTTTCAACATGATGTTTGGTAGGCTGCTATCTTGACAGTTCTCTTTATCGACAAAGTTGGAGGCAAGTTCCGGTATCCAATCTGCAGACAAAAAATCACAAAGTGTATTACAAATTCTAGCAGTAGACCACATCCAGTGAATGATGTACCCGGGATCAATAAAGTCAGCCAATTCATCGTGAAAAGCACCTTCCGGTGAAGTAAACTGGGATTCTAGGTAGTGAAGTAGTGCCTTTCATTGAGTTTTCACTTTATTCAAAAGGGCGTAGGTGTACCTCTCTTTGAGTAGTTTCTCCTTTTCTGATCGAATTAGATTATGAAAAATCCTGATAGCTGTGGCGATGTTTTCATCGCTTTCTGTCGATTCTAGATTTAAAATCGACCGTTCTTTACGTATTTGATGTACAGTGTTATGTAACCGCATAAATTTGGTACCTTGACTGTCGTTCGAGAAAAGAAAGAGAGAAGATCGAAATATCTTTGACTCGACCAACTCTCCTGGTAACTCATTATGATAGCGGATGAATTTAACAGCAGATTCCATTGGAATAGATTCTGTGGCACCAAGTGAGAAAAATCCCTGTCGCTGTGGCGGTGTTTTCATAGCTTTCTGTCGATTCCAGATTTAAAATCGACCGTTCTTTAAGTATGTTATGTACAGTGCTATGTAACCGCATAAATTTGGTACCTTCACCGTCGTTCGCGAAAAGAAAGAGGGAAGATCTAGAAATCTTTGACTCGACTAACTCCTCTGGTAACTCTTCATAGTAATAGTGGACGAATTCTACTGCAGATTCCATTGGCATAGATTCTGAGGCACCAAGTGAGAGGAAAATGAAAGCCTGTCAAAGAACCGTATCATTTTCGATCGTCTTTTTCAGAGTCATCCTTATGGCAGTTGTCATTTTGTGCGGGTAAGCTGGGCTCTCTTTCGCCAGAAGTTCCTCGGTTGCTTCTCGCTGACCTTGCATCAAAACAGCCAAGTAGTCTTCCCAACTGTAGTGAGGAGATCCAATCGCTGCAACAGTTTGGACATAATACGCAGCAGCAGCTAGTGCTAGGGGTTGATACTCAAGGACTTTGGCAACTTGTTTTGTTTTCTGTTTATCAGCAATTTGCGACACACGTTTCAAAAGGTTAACCGCTTCGTCTTCTTCCATTCCTTGGCTGAAAGACTCGTGATAGGTATGTTTAGGATTACAGGGAATCGAACTGCCATCTTGAGTGGTGAACAACACTTAACCGTGACCCCATTCCTTGCTGGAAGTTTGAGGAAGAAATCCGCGAATAAGACTTCATTGGTCTGCGTTGTCAGCTATTAGAGAGCTTTAGATTCGAGTACGAGAACGAGTACGAGTACGAGTTTACTGGCGTGCTCACATTGCGCATGCGTAGTTCTCCGTGACACTGTCACGGGAGCGGGAAACTCGTCGTCCGCCGCTCGTCGACAACGAGATTTTGATCAGAAGTCGACCTCCAGAGAACGAGTTTCGAAAGGTGAGTATTTTGTATTTTAAACTTATCCTAGTCTTTTTCTAAGTCAGCAAAAGGAAAATTAAGCCGTATACAGAGGTTTTATCGAATTGAATGTTATCACAAACCCTGATTCCATTCGTTTTTGATACTTTTTGGTCGACCTATTTTCACGAAATTCTGAGGTCTACACACGTAAACAACATATCGCAGTCGAATAAATTTAAATTGAAAAATGAGGGCCTTAAAAAGCACTTTCATCCTTTGAAATTTAACCAGAGAAGTACTGGTTGAAGAGCCTCACAACTACTGACCAGATTCAAAAGAGAGAGGTATATCTTGGACGAAAATCGCCGAACACTATGATAAAACCTTGAACACTGAAACATTTTATTAGTTTCTCATTAATTAATGTCATATTAATACCATTATATTTAAGAAATGAAAACTAAGGAAGAGTTTGTGTGGTAAAGTATCTGAATACATTATTTTTACATCTTTTTACAACAAATGTATATGTAGTTGTATCATAGAAATGTACTGTATTATTATTACAAAGTCAGTTCAGCTGTATTGAAATTAAAAATTATACATATTTACAATTTTGATTTTCTCAAATAAATTAATGCTGAAAATAATCATCTAATGTAGGAGGTTGAACATCAAAATAGGTGCTTGTAGTTGATCCATATAAGCAGGTACATGCATTCCTAAGCAGAGCACACACTGAATACATTACACCTACTGGACTTAATCCAATCTTTAAGTTCTTCTTAAAATCTAGGAAAGTGAAGAATGTTACTATGTTGCTAAACACCCACTCCACAGCTTCCCTGATTTTACTTCATCCTTGAAAATGAATTCTGAGTGGACAGGCAAGGTTGACATATATACACAGTGGTTGTCCACTGGTATCAAATGAATGCTGCTGAAGGTTATGAAGGAGGCCAGACATTCTTAACATACCAGCATCATGCCTTTTACCCGCTGAAATGACAATTTATAGAGCAAACATACTTGGATTTATATCAGCAGCTAGTGTTATAACACTCTTGTAGCTGCAGGTAACTGTTGAGTTACAGACTGTGATTTAATTTAATTTTTTTTTTCAATTTTCCA